TCACGGAGCCTGGTGTGTGAGAGTACAGGAGCTGCAGAGTTTTGGATGATCTGCAGGTTGTGAAGGGAAGAGTTGGGAAGGCCGATGAGGAGGGAGTTTCCATTGTTGACCCTTGATGTGACAAATGTGTGGGTGAGGGTTTCGGCAGCCTGAGGGGTGAGGCAGTGGCGGAGTCTAGCAATGTTGCGGAGGTGGTGATAAGCAGTGCCGGTCATGGCGTGGATGTGGGGGAGAAAGGACAGTTCAGGGTCAAATAAGACACCCAGGTTCCTGACTGGCTTAGTGAGGTTGAGTGTGCAGCCGTGGAGGCTGATGCTGCCAGCGCCTGAGGTAAGCACTGGCGCGAGCCAATCAGGAGGACCTCGGTCTTGCTGACTGACTCAGTCAACTTCAAATGTTTCACTCAGACAGTTAGATACAAATGCAAAGGCAGTAACTTTTGTCTCAAACACATATAAATGCAAATTCAAATGCATTTGAACTTGTACCCAAATCTGGTACCAAGTTTACTCTTAAATACACTGTTGCTTTTTACGTCAACCACAGCTTCCAGCAGTGAGTTCCAAACTCCCCCCACTCTCTGCATGAAGGATAGCACTTCTGAAAATGCAATGCCTGGCATCCAATTTCCACACAGCAGTGTCACACAAACTGCTTCCCCTTGGCGATGGGCCTGTAAATGATGTAAATAAAATGAAAAAAATTGTTCACGCCCCTTCCAAAAAGAGTAACTTTTCCTTCTCCCACTCATGGAGACTAGTGACTGGGTGGAGGAGCGAAGTGGCCACTGGGTGGAGGAGCCTGTGGACGACACATTCTGTCACAAAGTCCGAATGACTATTTTTAACAATACTGTGAAGAATGAATGATTCCTGGCCACTAGTTCACATGCCAACTGATATACAGCAATATAACAATTTATTTTCTTCATAATTTCTCCCACACTCAATGACACCAACTGGCCAATTAACACACCTAAATATTTTCCTGCTTCACTTTATTAACAAAGTACTCCTCATTTCTCCAATTGCAGCAATTGGAGACAGGGATTAGAAAGAATTGTTGTGTGGGTCCAAATCATTTTCCACAAATAAGGTGAAAGTTTGGACTAGTTCCCAGAATATTATTACTCTCACAAGGACAAGTTACATGATAATTTAACATAGCTTGTTGTTGCATATTTTAGATGTATCAGTATATTATCTCACCAAAGGCATATGCTAAAATGTGGAATGGGGAGAGTTCATGCCTTTGGGCAAATTTCACTCCCAAGAAATCTGAAATATTTTAATATAATACAATTTACCTTTGCATAGGTCTTTCATAACAGGAGGACGTCTCAAAGCATTTCTCACAGCTGCCTGAAGCCCCGAGCTGGGAGTGGGGGTAGGGGAGAGTTGAGGGGAGAGTGGGGGAAAAATGAACAAAAGTACGGTCAATGAGGTAAGTCTTAACTCTACTATTACATTCTCTTCTTCATCAAAGCCTGGATGAGAACTAACTTCCTCCAGTTGAATTTCAGCAAGACGGAGACTTTCCCACTTGGCTCCCATCATCGCCTTCTTACATCAGCCCCTGACAGCATCAATCTACACGGATGCACACTCCACCTTATAGAGAGAGTGTGGAACCTTGGTGGTCTTGTTTAACTATTAACTGTCCTATGAACTTCACATCCATGCTCTGCCCCATTCAGCTTTCCGCCACATTGGCAACATTGCCCACGTCAACCACTGCCTCTCTCCTCAGACTACTGAGATCCTTATCTACACACTCATTACATCCAGGCTAGACTGCTCTATCTCTCTGCTTGCCGTACTTCCTAACTCTTTCCTCCACAAGCTGAATACCATTCAGAACTCTGTCGCATGTGTCCTCTCTCTAACTAGACATTTTATGTGCTGCATCTTATGTGCTAATAATAACCCTTCCTGTTATTCTTTATGTTGCCTGCCAGCTTATTTGTTTCCATGCTCTCTTAGACCTCTTGGTCATTTCAATCCGCGACTGTTTGTTGGACATTGCTGTGTGCAATTGGCTGCCGCATTTCGCCCACAAATATACAGTCAATTAACTTTACAGTCTATTCTGTGAAGCACTTTGAGACATCTAGAAGAAGTGAAAAGCACTACATGAAATGCAAGGATTGTTATTATTAAAAAGCAATAGGATGAATAACCAATTAAACCATTGTCTGTTAAAACTGGATGAGGAAGGATTTTGGCCAAGACACAAGACTGACTTTAAAGGGATTGATTCCACTGGTATTAAAGGACTTAAGATCATAAAAATGTAAGAAATGTGAGACGAAAAAAGACCAAGATCCATCTAGTTTGCCTTCCACCTTCCTGCTGGTCGCATGCACCTATGTCCCAAACTACCTATGTACTATATTCCATAATGTTATTTCATAAAAGAAAATTATTTAATCTGTGTTTGAAAGAATCAATACTTCCTTCTTTAACCGTCTCCCTAGGGAGCCTGTTCCACAGTCCATTATTCACTCACTGAAATAGTGTTTGCATAGATTCGTTCTGAATTTATCCCCCTTCAATCGCAGGCCGTGTCCTCTGGTTCTACTATTCTGGGCAAGTTGAAACAGCCCGTCATGATCTATATGGTCTAACACTTTTAGACAGCAAACATGTCGCCTCTCAATCTTCTCCTTTCCAGGGTGAACATGCCCAATCTACTTAGTCGCTCCTCATAGTCCAGTCCTTCCATTCCCTCAATCACTTGGTTGCGCTTCTCTGTATCTTCTCAATTTCTCCAATATTCTTTTTGTACTGCGATGACCAGAACTGTACACAGTACTCTAAGTATGGTCTCACCAGCGATTTATACAGTGACAAGAATACCCCATCACCAGCACCTTAGGACGTCCTCCCGATGTGAAAGGTGCTATATAAATGTAATTTTTATTGTTGTTGTACTTCGGTTTGCTATTGATCTTTTGATCCATCCCAACATCTGGTTTGCTTTACTCACTGCCACAGAGCATTGTTGGGAGAGCTTCAATTTATTGCCAGTCAAGGCCTTTTTATCTTCCATACATTTTATTTTCCTTCCATTCAAATAATAGTCCCTTCCAGGATTTTGTGTCCCCATGTGAAGTACTTTTCATTTCTCCACTATTGAATTTCATCTGCCACCGATCTGCCACAGAACAGATGTATTGCCAGTTCCCTTGCTCTGCATTACACCATACATTTGTTCCTGAAGGATAAAATAAAAATGATAATCCTCACACTTTCATGCCAAGACAACATCTCAAAGTACTTCATAAGATTTATGATAAATTCTGCATTTTTGCCACTTCAAACCCACCTTTAAGTGTGTGATGTTATATTAGAACCATAGAATCAAGAACATTTACAGCACAGAAGGAGGCCATTTGGCCTATCATGCTTGTTCCATCTCGCTGAAAGAGTTATTCATCTAGTCACTTTCTCCTGCCTTTTCCCTGTACATTCTTATATTTCTCTTTTTTCATATATTTATTATATTCACTCTTAAAAGCTTACCTAGATTCCGCCTCAACCACAGTTCAGAGTAAGGCAATTTAATGATCATAAGAACATAAGAGTTGCTAGACAAAAGAAGACCAAAGTTCATCCAGTTCGCCTTCCACCTTCCTGGCAGTCACAAGCACATGTCATGTCCCAAACTATATACTGTATCCCATAAGAACATAAGAATTGCCAGACGAAAAACCTCTGCAAAAAAAAGGTAATTATCTTAGCCCATCTCTCTCTATTTGCTCTTTTAGCAAATAACTTAAGGTCGTTTATGACAATTGGTTCTTCTGAGTTCTCCAATAAAAGCATAATTTCCTGAACACGCCTTGATGATGGCAGTGTTTCTTTAAAATTCAGTAAGTCTGCAAGTGTGCTGTCCTCCTTACTTCTTTATCCACTACTGTTCGACACTCAGTGTAGGCAGGACGCCCAAAAGCATAGACATTCCTCGCTTTCTCATAAGAGATTTTGCTTTAACAATGTTCCCCTTGGAAAATGAAATCATAAATGATTTTGCCAAGTTGGCTGTTTAGATCTCTCTCCATATTTAAGTGTGCCGTTTATATAAGGCGTATTGGTTACCAGAGATTTAGCTGTATTACTGAAAACATGAAACAGATGTGGCAAAAATGTAGTAGAACTAAGCTGTGTCTCTGCACAGAGGGTGGATGCTGTCATTAACACAACAGTGGAGGAGAAAATCACTCTGGTTCCATTGCCAGACTTCTGTACCGAGTTTCTTTGTGCAGTGAGCAGTCCACAATTCTGCTTAATATGTACTTCTTGTTGTTAAACGTCAAAGGAGGTTAAAACACACACAATTTGCACACGATCTGTGATAAACAGTTTCAAACACATAGTATTTGACCAATAAACATGTCCCAATGAAAGAAATAAAGATAAAGACTGAAGCTGGAAACGTGGGGAAAAAAAGACTCAAATCTTGCAAACGTGGTAAATCTATAATGTGGTCAGTCTGTACAATTCTGCTCTTCGACTCCCACTTGTAAAAAAAAATGTTTTAAAAAAGGAAAAGATGAAATAGATCTTCGTTTATTCGCTGTGTTTATTTGCTTCGCGTTTTGCAACCCAGCTTACACTTGATCCGGGGTGGAAGAGTATTTATTTAGTTCATTTATTTTTTTAGTACAGCATTTCAGTGCAAAAAATAAGAGCTGAGAAATTCTGGAAATAAGGGCTTGCTGAGAGAGTGCGGTTTTTGCAAAAGCAGCTGATCTGGGGAGAAGGGTTGTTGCCTTCCAAGGTGCTATGATCTGCTTTTTTTTATTGCACACGTAGTTGTGCTGAAGGGAGTTAGTTATTGCAATAGCAAGCTGAGAGGGGCTGACAGTTTTGGCTGGGCAATGGGAAACACAAAGCCGCATTTGTAGCCCTGTCTGCAAAACTCTGGTCTGAAAGAGAATTCAGCCACACTGCACACACCGAGCTCTGCACTGACACTGACACTGACACTGCACTGCACTGCCTGTGTGGAGGGTGGGGGAATAAAAAAGGTAAGATTTTTTTTTGCTCTTCTTTTTTTTAACAAAAAAAGCATCTTCGACATCCTATTTTTTTTTTGCATGTGGATGCTTCAAGACCAGGGCTTCATTTAAGGCGTCTTCCAAAGAAATAATCAATAGCAACGCATCTAAAATGACAGCGTTCACCACAAAAGAAATCTGTCTGAGCCTCTCTGCAGTGGTGCAGTTAAAACATCTTCCACCAACGTTAAGAAATGCAATAACTTGGGACGAGTCAAAATGGTTATGTCAGCAATGCGTTATCCAACGCTGCTTTAGTGACCTGGATTTTTTTTTCTCTTTGTTCCATATGTGACTGGGTATTAAAGATTATTTTTGCACTCACAATCCTCCTCCCCTCCCCACTCACTCCCATGACAAGTCAAGATGCTATTTTCAAGATGATGCGAATAAATGTGCGAAATACTAGATTTATTTTTTTTAATTTGTATCCAGTAGCCACCGTTCCCACTGACTGAGGCTGAATGCATCTTTTCCATGGACCCACCAACCCTCCGTTTGCATTGTTTGAGGCTATTCGACATTGCAGATCTCCACAGAAATAATAATTCATATTTTTTTTCCGTATTGCAATCGGTGCACATTTCTCCCTTTATGGATCGTGGTATTGGGATAAAGATTAGCATTTGATTTACTGAAACCGTAATGAGAATGGATTGTTTTGAGGGGAGGGGGTGAGGGGGGGAAAGGAAATCAACTCGTCTTTGTGATAAAATTGTGTGATGTGTCCCACAGAGTGTATGTGTGTGTGTGATGTGTCCCACAGAGTGTATGTGTGTGTGGTGTGTTCTCACAGTCTATATGTGTGTGTGGTGTGTGTCTCACACACTGTATGTGTGTGTGGTGTGTGTCCCACAGACTATATGTGTGTGTGGTTTGTGTCCCATAGACTGTATGTGAGTGTGGTTTGTGTCCCACAGACTGTATGTGTGTGTGTTGTGTCCCACAGACTGTATGTGTGTGTGTTGTGTCCCACAGACTGTATGTGTGTGCGGTGTGTCTCACAGACTGCATATGTGTGTGGTGTGTCCCACAGACTGTATGTGTGTGTGGTGTGTTTCTCACAGACTGTATGTGTGTGTGGTGTGTTTCTCACAGACTGTATGTGTGTGTGGTGCGTCTCTCACAGACTGTATGTGTGTGTGGTGTGTCACACAAACTGTATATGTGTGGTGTGTTTCTCACAAACTGTACATGTGTGTGGTGTGTCCCATAGACTCTATGTGTGTGTGGTGTGTTCCGCAGTCTGTATATGTGTGTGGTGTGTCCCACAGACTGTATGTGTGTGTGGTTTGTGTCCCACAGACTGTATGTGTGTGTGGTTTGTGTCCCACAGACTGTATATGTGTGGTGTGTTTCTCACAAACTGTATGTGTGTGTGTTGTGTTCCACAGAGTGTATGTGTGTGTGATGTGTCCCACAGAGTGTATGTGTGTGGTGTGTTCTCACAGTCTATATGTGTGTGTGGTGTGTGTCCCACAGACTGTATGTGTGTGTGGTTTGTGTCCCATAGACTGTATGTGTGTGTGGTTTGTGTCCCACAGACTGTATGTGTGTGTGTTGTGTCCCACAGACTGTATGTGTGTGCGGTGTGTCCCACAGACTGCATATGTGTGTGTGGTGTGTCCCACAGACTGTATGTGTGTGTGGTGTGTTTCTCACAGACTGTATGTGTGTGTGGTGTGTCTCTCACAGACTGTATTTGTGTGTGGTGTGTCACACAAACTGTATGTGTGGGGTGTGTTTCTCACAAACTGTACATGTGTGTGGTGTGTCCCACAGACTCTATGTGTGTGTGGTGTGTTCCGCAGTCTGTATATGTGTGTGGTGTGTCCCACAGACTCTATGTGTGTGGTGTGTTTCTCACAGACTGTATGTGTGTGTGTGGTGTGCCCCACAGACTGTATGCGTGTGTGTTGTGTTCTCACAGACTATATGTGTGGTGTGTTTCTCACAGACTGTATGTGTGTGTGGTGTGCCTCACAGACTGTATGTGTGTGTGGTGAATCCCATAGACTGTACATGTGAGGTGTGTTTCTCACAGACTGTATGTGTGTGTGGTGTGTTTCACACAAACTGTATATGTGTGCGGTGTGTCCCACAGATTGTATATGTGTGTGGTGTGTCCCACAGACTGTATGTGTGTGTGGTGTGTCCCACAGACTGTATATGTGTGTGGTGTGTCCCACAGACTGTATGTGTGTGTGGTGTATGTCTCACAGACTGTATGTGTGTGTGGTGTGTTTCTCACAGACTGTATGTGTGTGTGGTGTGTCCCACAGACTGTATGTGTGTGTGGTGTGTTTCTCACAAACTGTACATGTGTGTGGTGTGTCCCATAGACTCGATGTGTGTGGTGTGTTTCTCACAGACTGTATGTCTGTGTGGTGTTTCTCACAGACTGTATGTGTGTGTGTTGTGTTCTCACAGACTGTATGTGTGTGTGGTGTGTGTCCCACAGACTGTATGTGTGTGTGGTGTGTCACACAAATTGTATGTGTGGGGTGTGTTTCTCACAGACTGTATGTGGGTGTGGTGTGTCCCACACACTGTATATGTTTGTGGTGTGTCCCACTGACTGTATGTGTGTGTGGTTTATTTCTCACAGACTGTATATGTTTGTGGTGTGTCCCACAGACTGTATGTGTGTGGTTTATTTCTCACAGACTGTATGTGTGTGTGGTGTGTGTCTCACAAACTGTATGTGTGTGGTGTGTGTCCCACAGAGTGTATGTGTCTGGTGTGTGTCCCACAGACTGTATGTGTGTGTGGTTTGTGTCCCATAGACTGTATGTGTGTGTGGTTTGTGTCCCACAGACTGTATGTGTGTGTGTTGTGTCCCACAGACTGTATGTGTGTGCGGTATGTCCCACAGACTGCATATGTGTGTGGTGTGTCCCACAGACTGTATGTGTGTGTGGTGTGTTTCTCACAGACTGTATATGTGTGTGGTGTGTTCCGCAGTCTGTATATGTGTGTGGTGTGTTTCTCACAGACTGTATGTCTGTGTGGTGTTTCTCACAGACTGTATGTGTGTGTGTGGTGTGTTTCTCACAGACTGTATGTGTGTGTGGTGTGTCCCACAGACTGTATGTGTGTGTGGTGTGTTTCTCACAGACTGCATATGTGTGTGGTGTGTTCCGCAGTCTGTATATGTGTGTGGTGTGTTTCTCACAGACTGTATGTCTGTGTGGTGTTTCTCACAGACTGTATGTGTGTGTGGTGTGCCCCACAGACTGTATGTGTGTGTGTTGTGTTCTCACAAACTGTACATGTGTGTGGTGTGTCCATAGACTCTATGTGTGTGTGGTGTGTTCCGCAGTCTGTATATGTGTGTGGTGTGTCCCACAGACTGTATGTGTGTGGGGTGTGTTTCTCACAAACTGTACATGTGTGTGGTGTGTCCCACAGACTCTATGTGTGTGGTGTGTTTCTCACAGACTGTATGTGTGTGTGTGGTGTGTCCCACAGACTGTATGTGTGTGTGGTTTATTTCTCACAGACTATATGTTTGTGGTGTGTCCCACAGACTGTATGTGTGTGTGGTTTATTTCTCACAGACTGTATGTGTGTGTGGTGTGTGTCTCACAAACTGTATGTGTGTGGTGGGTCCCACAGAGTGTATGTGTGTGGTGTGTGTCCCACAGACTCTATGTTTGTGTGGTTTATTTCTCACAGACTGTATGTGTATGTGGTGTGTTTCTCACAGACTGTATGTGTGTGTGGTGTGTGTCTCACAGACTGTATGTGTGCGTGGTGTGTCCCACAGACTGTATGTGTGTGTGGTTTGTGTCCCACAGACTGTATGTGTGTGTGGTTTGTGTCCCACAGACTGTATATGTGTGGTGTGTTTCTCACAAACTGTATGTGTGTGTGTTGTGTTCCACAGAGTGTATGTGTGTGTGATGTGTCCCACAGAGTGTATGTGTGTGGTGTGTTCTCACAGTCTATATGTGTGTGTGGTGTGTGTCCCACAGACTGTATGTGTGTGTGGTTTGTGTCCATAGACTGTATGTGTGTGTGGTTTGTGTCCCACAGACTGTATGTGTGTGTGTTGTGTCCCACAGACTGTATGTGTGTGCGGTGTGTCCCACAGACTGCATATGTGTGTGTGGTGTGTCCCACAGACTGTATGTGTGTGTGGTGTGTTTCTCACAGACTGTATGTGTGTGTGGTGTGTCTCTCACAGACTGTATTTGTGTGTGGTGTGTCACACAAACTGTATGTGTGGGGTGTGTTTCTCACAAACTGTACATGTGTGTGGTGTGTCCCACAGACTCTATGTGTGTGTGGTGTGTTCCGCAGTCTGTATATGTGTGTGGTGTGTCCCACAGACTCTATGTGTGTGGTGTGTTTCTCACAGACTGTATGTGTGTGTGTGGTGTGCCCCACAGACTGTATGTGTGTGTGTTGTGTTCTCACAGACTGTATGTGTGGTGTGCCTCACAGACTGTATGTGTATGTGGTGTGTCCCACAGACTCTATGTGTGTGTGGTGAATCCCATAGACTGTACATGTGAGGTGTGTTTCTCACAGACTGTATGTGTGTGTGGTGTGTTTCACACAAACTGTATATGTGTGCGGTGTGTCCCACAGATTGTATATGTGTGTGGTGTGTCCCACAGACTGTATGTGTGTGTGGTGTGTCCCACAGACTGTATATGTGTGTGGTGTGTCCCACAGACTGTATGTGTGTGTGGTGTATGTCTCACAGACTGTATGTGTGTGTGGTGTGTTTCTCACAGACTGTATGTGTGTGTGGTGTGTCCCACAGACTGTATGTGTGTGTGGTGTGTTTCTCACAAACTGTACATGTGTGTGGTGTGTCCCATAGACTCGATGTGTGTGGTGTGTTTCTCACAGACTGTATGTCTGTGTGGTGTTTCTCACAGACTGTATGTGTGTGTGTTGTGTTCTCACAGACTGTATGTGTGTGTGGTGTGTGTCCCACAGACTGTATGTGTGTGTGGTGTGTCACACAAATTGTATGTGTGGGGTGTGTTTCTCACAGACTGTATGTGGGTGTGGTGTGTCCCACACACTGTATATGTTTGTGGTGTGTCCCACTGACTGTATGTGTGTGTGGTTTATTTCTCACAGACTGTATATGTTTGTGGTGTGTCCCACAGACTGTATGTGTGTGGTTTATTTCTCACAGACTGTATGTGTGTGTGGTGTGTGTCTCACAAACTGTATGTGTGTGGTGTGTGTCCCACAGAGTGTATGTGTCTGGTGTGTGTCCCACAGACTGTATGTGTGTGTGGTTTGTGTCCCATAGACTGTATGTGTGTGTGGTTTGTGTCCCACAGACTGTATGTGTGTGTGTTGTGTCCCACAGACTGTATGTGTGTGCGGTATGTCCCACAGACTGCATATGTGTGTGGTGTGTCCCACAGACTGTATGTGTGTGTGGTGTGTTTCTCACAGACTGTATATGTGTGTGGTGTGTTCCGCAGTCTGTATATGTGTGTGGTGTGTTTCTCACAGACTGTATGTCTGTGTGGTGTTTCTCACAGACTGTATGTGTGTGTGTGGTGTGTTTCTCACAGACTGTATGTGTGTGTGGTGTGTCCCACAGACTGTATGTGTGTGTGGTGTGTTTCTCACAGACTGCATATGTGTGTGGTGTGTTCCGCAGTCTGTATATGTGTGTGGTGTGTTTCTCACAGACTGTATGTCTGTGTGGTGTTTCTCACAGACTGTATGTGTGTGTGGTGTGCCCCACAGACTGTATGTGTGTGTGTTGTGTTCTCACAAACTGTACATGTGTGTGGTGTGTCCCATAGACTCTATGTGTGTGTGGTGTGTTCCGCAGTCTGTATATGTGTGTGGTGTGTCCCACAGACTGTATGTGTGTGGGGTGTGTTTCTCACAAACTGTACATGTGTGTGGTGTGTCCCACAGACTCTATGTGTGTGGTGTGTTTCTCACAGACTGTATGTGTGTGTGTGGTGTGTCCCACAGACTGTATGTGTGTGTGGTTTATTTCTCACAGACTATATGTTTGTGGTGTGTCCCACAGACTGTATGTGTGTGTGGTTTATTTCTCACAGACTGTATGTGTGTGTGGTGTGTGTCTCACAAACTGTATGTGTGTGGTGGGTCCCACAGAGTGTATGTGTGTGGTGTGTGTCCCACAGACTCTATGTTTGTGTGGTTTATTTCTCACAGACTGTATGTGTATGTGGTGTGTTTCTCACAGACTGTATGTGTGTGTGGTGTGTGTCTCACAGACTGTATGTGTGCGTGGTGTGTCCCACAGACTGTATGTGTGTGTGATGTGTCCCAAAGACTATATGTGTGTGTGGTGTGTGTCTCACACAGTGTATATATGTGTGGTGTGTGTCTCACAGACTGTATGTGTATGTGGTGTGTTTCTCACAGACTGTATGTGTGTGTGGTGTGTGTCTCACAGACTGTATGTGTATGTGGTGTGTTTCTCACAGACTGTATGTGTGTGTGGTGTGTGTCCCACAGACTGTATGTGTGTGTGGTGTGTGTCTCACAGACTGTATGTGTGTGTGTGGTGAATCCCACAGACTGTATATGTGTGGTGTGTTTCTCACAAACTGTATGTGTGTGTGGTGTGTTTCCCACAGACTGTATGTGTGTGTGGTGTGTCACACAAATTGTATGTGTGGGGTGTGTTTCTCACAGACTGTATGTGGGTGTGGTGTGTCCCACACACTGTATATGTTCTTGGTGTGTCCCACTGACTGTATGTGTGTGTGGTTTATTTCTCACAGACTGTATATGTTTGTGGTGTGTCCCACAGACTGTATGTGTGTGGTTTATTTCTCACAGACTGTATGTGTGTGTGGTGTGTGTCTCACAAACTGTATGTGTGTGGTGTGTGTCCCACAGAGTGTATGTGTGTGGTGTGTGTCCCACAGACTGTATGTGTGTGTGGTTTGTGTCCCATAGACTGTATGTGTGTGTGGTTTGTGTCCCACAGACTGTATGTGTGTGTGTTGTGTCCCACAGACTGTATGTGTGTGCGGTGTGTCCCACAGACTGCATATGTGTGTGGTGTGTCCCACAGACTGTATGTGTGTGTGGTGTGTTTCTCACAGACTGCATATGTGTGTGGTGTGTTCCGCAGTCTGTATATGTGTGTGTTGTGTTCTCACAGACTGTATGTCTGGTGTGTTTCTCACAGACTGTATGTGTGTGTGTGGTGTGCCCCACAGGCTGTATGTGTGTGTGTTGTGTTCTCACAAACTGTACATGTGTGTGGTGTGTCCCATAGACTCTATGTGTGTGTGGTGTGTTCCGCAGTCTGTATATGTGTGTGGTGTGTCCCACAGACTGTATGTGTGTGGGGTGTGTTTCTCACAAACTGTACATGTGTGTGGTGTGTCCCACAGACTCTATGTGTGTGGTGTGTTTCTCACAGACTGTATGTGTGTGTGTGGTGTGCCCCACAGACTGTATGTGTGTTTGGTGTGTTTCTCACAGACTGTATGTGTGTGTGGTGTGTCCCACAGACTGTATGTGTGTGTGGTTTATTTCTCACAGACTGTATGTGTGTGTGGTGTGTGTCTCACAAACTGTATGTGTGTGGTGGGTCCCACAGAGTGTATGTGTGTGGTGTGTGTCCCACAGACTCTATGTGTGTGTGGTTTATTTCTCACAGACTGTATGTGTATGTGGTGTGTTTCTCACAGACTGTATGTGTGTGTGGTGTGTGTCTCACAGACTGTATGCGTGCGTGGTGTGTCCCACAGACTGTATGTGTGTGTGATGTGTCCCAAAGACTATATGTGTGTGTGGTGTGTGTCTCACACAGTGTATATATGTGTGGTGTGTGTCTCACAGACTGTATGTGTATGTGGTGTGTTTCTCACAGACTGTATGTGTGTGTGGTGTGTGTCTCACAGACTGTATGTGTATGTGGTGTGTTTCTCACAGACTGTATGTGTGTGTGGTGTGTGTCCCACAGACTGTATGTGTGTGTGGTGTGTGTCTCACAGACTGTATGTGTGTGTGGTGAATCCCACAGACTGTATATGTGTGGTGTGTTTCTCACAAACTGTATGTGTGTGTGGTGTGTTTCTCACAGACTGTATGTGTGTGTGGTGTGTTTCACACAAACTGTATATGTGTGCGGTGTGTCCCACAGACTGTATATGTGTGTGGTGTGTCCCACAGACTGTATGGGTGTGTGGTGTGTGTCTCACAGACTGTATGTGTGTGTGGTGTGTTTCTCACAGACTGTATGTGTGTGTGGTATGTTTCTCACAGACTGTATGTGTGTGTGGTGTGTCTCACAGAGTGTATGTGTGTGTGGTGTGTCCCACAGACTGTATTTGTGTGTGGTGTGTCCCTCAGACTGTATTTGTGTGTGGTGTGTCCCTCAGACTGTATGTGTGTGTGGTGTGTCACACAAATTGTATGTGTGGGGTGTGTTTCTCACAAACTGTATGTGTGTGCAGTATGTTTCTGACAGACTGTATGTGTGTGTGGTGTGTCCCACAGACTGTATGTGTGTGTGGTGTGTTTCTCACAAACTGTACATGTGTGTGGTGTGTCCCATAGACTCGATGTGTGTGGTGTGTTTCTCACAGACTGTATGTCTGTGTGGTGTTTCTCACAGACTGTATGTGTGTGTGTGGTGTGCCACACAAATTGTATGTGTGGGGTGTGTTTCTCACAAACTGCATGTGTGTGTGGTGTGTCCGACAGACTGTATGTGTGTGTGGTGTATTTCTCACAGACTGTATGTGTGCGTGGTGTGTGTCTCACAGACTGTATGTGTGTGGTGTGTGTCCCGCAGACTCTATGTGTGTCTGGTGTGTTCCACAGACTGTATATGTGTGTGGTGTGTCTGTGGGGCACACACACACATACAGTCTGTGAGAAACACACCACACACACATACAGTCTGAGAGAACACACCACGCACACATACAGTCTGTGAGAAACAAACCAAACACATACAGTCTGTGGGACACACCACACCCACATCCAGTCTGTGAGTGTGGTGTGTCCCACAGACTGTATGTGTGTGTGGTGTGTTTCTCACAGACCCCATAGACTGTATGTGTGTATGGTGTGTTTCTCACAGACTGTATGTGTGTGTAGTGTGTCCCACAGACTGTATGTGTGTGTGGTGTGATTCTCACAGACTGTATGTGTGTGTTGTGTGTCCCACAAACTATATGTGTGTGTGGTGTGTCCCACGGACTGTATGTGTGTGTGTGGTGTTTTTCTCAGAGACTGTATGTGTGTTTGGTGTGTTCTCACAGACTGAAGATGAAACTGCTGATCGTGGTTGTGCTCGTGTGCAGTTTGCTGGCTGCTGATGCCAGTCCTGCCAATCGTCTCTCATGTTACAAGAAGCTGCTGAAGGACCTGAACTGCCACAACATCCCCGAGGGCACCGAGCATTTGCGACCCATAGACGAGGGTCTGGACGGTCACTTCTGGGATGGGGACAACTGCGAAGTCGTCTGTTTCTGCAATTTCAGGGAGTTGCTCTGCTGCCCCAAGTAGGTCACCTTCTTGCCACTAGGGTGCACGCCTGAGCATCGCCACAGCTAACCATGTACTGTATTAAGATTTCCAGCCCCAAAAAACCTTGACATTCAGAATCACTTACTCATTCACCATTGACAAATTTTCCCCAATTAGCCTAACACCGTTTCTCCCACAAAATATACAGTCAATTCACTTTACAGTATATTCTGTGAAGCGCTTTGAGGCATCTCGACAAAGTGATGATGTGCTTTATCAAATGCAAGGATTTATATTATTATTACTGAGTTGCAAATGAGCACTATAACAACAACAACTTGTATTTATATAGCGAGTTATATAGCAAGTTTCTCTTGAATTTAAAAGAAAGAGTAATACGCAGAGGCACAGAATCACTATCGATTGACAAAATTATGTTGAAACCAAGACCAGATCGGCCCGTTCAGGCGGATTTTAAAGATCTCATGTCTCTAGTGAAAAAACGATCAGGGAGTTCCTTGTGTCAAAGCCAACAATCTCCAAATATAATTGGTCATCCACTTTGTGGCTGTTTGTGGGACACTGCTGTGCACAAATTGGCTGCCACATTTGCTTACAAACTACCATCATTACACTTTGAGACTCTTGATATGAAAGGCACTATATGAAATGCAAGGATTATTATTACAGTATTATTAAAAGCAAGGATTCTTCTTCTTATAAAATGAAGAATAAAATGTCACTGCACTTAATAACAATTAGTTGTTAAGTGCTTTGAGACATTTTGGCATTACAGACACACTATCAAATGCAAGGATTATTTGTTTTATATTCTTGCTTATTTCAAAGGACAGACCACTCAAAAGTATTTTTTATTTACTTGCTCTTAAGAGTAATAATTGCAAACTCAGGGGTATAGGGAAAGGGCATGTAAATGGGACTTAAAGGAATGACCTTACAAGAGCCAGCACAAATCAGATGAGCTGAATGGCCTTCTTCTTGCCTCCTCCCTTTCCTCCTTTAAGGCCGGTCTCAAGACCTTTCTCTTTGACGGTGCCTTCAGCTCCCCTCTCGACTCTCTACCCCCTCCTCACTCCCTCCCTCCCTTCCCTCCCCTCACCCTGACCGTTTTACCCCGGCTCGGGTCCTGACCCAACTGTCCAGCGCCTTGGGACGTCCTCCCGACGTGAAAGGCGCTTTATAAATGGAATCTTGTTGTTGTTCTTCTGTGCTATAAATTTTGATGGGTCTATGGTCCACTTGATGACTCATTGGGATTTTTTTTTGGTCAGCCGGGTATCTGACACATGCGGAAACCCATCATCATGCTTAAAAGTATCCAAACCAAGCTGAGATTTCCATGAATCCTGCCTGTCCAGAGATAGATTGTTGGAATGGAATGTGCACTCTCTCCCTGGAGGACACATCCTGCTTACATAATTCTGGAAAGTATTTGGTACAGTTTGGTTAAGAGCCAATGCTTGGGGACCCTAGAGTGTATGTTGAGGTACTACTGGAGTCTAACCAGCTAAATTGATATTGCTGTCTGGCAAGCTTTGCCACTGCTTATCCGGCTTGGACCACCCTACCCATTAGGGCTTTGGTTTGAAGGTTAACAGGAGCTGTCAAGGATTCCCCAGTGACTGGTCTGCCCTTCCAGGTCCTGTTGATGAGCCAGGCTGGGTGTGCTGTCATCAGCAGTGCCCTGGAATACTGCGGACCCACCTGGCTCGGGAACCGGACTACCGGGACTGCCATAGTGGGCTGGCTCAATTCAGACATTCCATTGACAAACATGTCACCATTTTCCCAAACTCATTGGGAAATGATGTGAAGTATGGATACCGTGAAGATTCCAGGTTTGAGTACTGGTCTGTGCTGTTTTCGCATCCCAGCCAAGCCCAGCAGTGGAGCCACCAACCGTTAACCCCTGTTTTGTATCATTGGGCCAGCAAAGGAAAGTGAATCAGCCAAGGTTCCTGCTCCAGGATTCAGTAACACATGATTCAAAGTCTGCCAGTAGGATATCATACAAGGACACAATTTCCTCAAGTGATTTTTGCATGAGGAACATTTTTCAAGTCAGATCTGAAAACATTTCTTCACATAGAGGGTTGTGAGACTCTGGCTGTTTGTAGGACATTGCTGTGTGAAAATTGGCTGTGGTGTTTGCTAGCACAAACCCATTGGCCAGCTCCTTGGCTCAACCTGCAACTGATACTCTATTTAGATAAGCAGGTTGGTCCCTCAGGGAGAGATAGCCTCAGGGAAATTTCCATATGTAGATGACATACTTTTGTAGACCATTCAGTCTGGTTTGGATACTCTAGTGATGGGCATGTTTGTAGACAAATGCAGTTTCTATATTTACCAAGACATCTCTGAAGCGCTTTGAGATTTTTTTACGTGATGAGTCCGTATTTCAAATGCAATATATTAACAAATGCTTTGTTCTGCTCTCTCTTCTCCCTCACCCCTCTCTCTCTCAGTCTCTTCATCAGCTGGATGGACATATGTGGTTTGCCTTGGATTTCTGCCACTGCACCACCAACTGTTTAGGAAATACATCTGGCTAGGAACAGGCTACAGTAGCCTGCTCAGCAAGTTCAGATTAATTGTACCCTCACTCAGAATCGAGTAAAAAAGTAATGGATCTTTTTCTTAAATGTGATGTATTTTATTATACATTAAACATTAAACATCTTTGAGACGTCTCAAGTGCTTCACAGAATATACTGCAAAGTGAATTGACTGTGTATTTTGTGAGCAAAATACGGCAGCCAATTGCACACAGCAGTGTCCCACAAATAGTCGTTTAATTTATTATTCGATAGTCGATCAATTTATTATTATTATTGAGATTGCCTTTACTGTAGATGATGGATTAACTGCAGCTAATGATGCTGATGAACAACTACACTGTACTATAACGTGGCCTTATGAAAAAAATCTCACTCTAACTTTCTCCCATCTCTCCTCAAAAGGAGAAAAACCTTACAATTTTGTTATAGTGCCTTATCAAACTTTTCAAATCGCGTCACAGGAAATTATAGTCAAGTGTAGTAACTGTTTATGTCTGCCACTGCAGCAGCCATTTGCACCAGTAATGCCTCACAAAGAGACAAATTAGGTGATTGACCAGTTAAACTCAAGTATGAGATGTGTGACATTCCTTATCTTTATATAAACACTACATCTTGAATGCACCAATAATTTGCAATTTATTACACATAACTATATATGCATTTCAATATTCGCTATAGCAAAATAGAAACAATGCATATTGTTATAGGTGCAAGGGATTTGAATTTTGGTGGAAGAACTCTAAGTAGACAAGATATATCCAACTTCTGTGTTGTCAGGCCGCTGCTGATATCACTTCCTGCACACTGCACAAGAAGTGATGCCACTTCTTTAGAAAAGTGATGGCAGCAACAGCCTGTGACCCAGAGGTCAAAATCAGAAGCCAGGTGTACTGTATTTCCGGTTAGGATTGGTTCACAGGACTCGAGCGCGATGAGGAAAGCCACACTATGCCTGGACCTATTATAATGGGATTGCCCTGTATGACATATTGTGATTTTATTTGATGGGGGAGGTATTCCGATGATTGAAAAATTGTGAGAAAATTTACAATCTGACCAATAAATTGTTCCTTAAATTTGATCTTCACCGTACATTATTGTTTAATTTCTTTGTGTTCTTTAAATTCCAAGGAAAGTAAAAATTGTAGAAATCTCGAACATAATTACACGCTTTCACTAACATATGGCACAAAGAGTAAATCTAATAAACTGCCAGAATTCAATCATGTACCTTGGGTACAAGAGAACACACTAGTGTGGTCCATTGAATTATTTCACAAATCAATACTAAAATATGCGCTGGAAGGAATTGAGAAGAGGGTGACATTTATTTATCTCCATAACACTACTGAATCTTGTTCTATTTCAGAAACATATTCTTTGGACCAAAGATTTCGTTTGTGATTCCCTGTAAAATACAACAGAGAGAAATGTAACAAGTGGAAGAAAAACAAGCTGAAAAAAGAAGCAATCATGTGGGGGCAACTCATAATAAGTGTTTTCTAATGTTCTGTGATTTTTTGGGGAAAAAAGCATTTATACAAGTAAACACTGCCACTAAATACAACAGGTGCTCTTTTTATAATTACTTTCCTGTGAATCAAAGAGAACTTTGTAAAATTATTTTCTATGTTTGTAATTCACAAAGTTACCTAGTGTAAACACTAAAATATACTCAACTGTATACACGTTAATTAATACCACACTTACAGATAGAATAATGGTCTTGGTTGTATACTCGGAAAATATTTTTTCCCTGCAAGATGTTTTCATAAAAATAATGCATTAATAAGCTGTAAGTGGTGCAAGATGTGATTCTCATTTAGTGTTTTCTTTTTCAAAACTTACTTTCTAAACTTTAATAAAATAAAGTGCAGATTTGTTTAAGACGTTGCTGTCTTTGCAAACCAATTATGCAAATGCACACTGATATTGCAGTCATATATTCCCAGCAAAACCTAATATACTATTGTGAAATGTACAGTCAAGTAACATTGCCAATATGATGCTTTTTAGGAGTGGTTTTAACATTTATCGGGAATAATTTAGAACACAACACCCTGTTTCATATATTGTCATATTACATATTAATTCAGGATTGTTGTAATATTGTAATTACATGCTTCAATAAAATTGTAAATCTGTTCTCGGCATATATTTGTTCAATATACAGTTAGTCAGAATAATATTTTAAGAGCCTGGTATTAATATGGGGGAAGATTTGATCTGATTTTGGAAGATCCTATTGTTTAGTTTTGTTGTTGTGATAATTTGCTACAAAATTTGTCATAGGTTCCAAGAAAGAGTTGGGCTTATTGCTCTGTGCAATAATGTACAGAAAACAATTTCTCCTGTATTTCAAAACTCATATTCTATCCCTGTACTTGTATCTCTTGTTCATCGGTTTACTCTAAGTTTTGGTCATTCTTGCTTCTCCTATTTCAATGGGAACATAAGCATATTACAAAACGTCCATGCAAAGCCATAAAACCCACTTTTTTCACAAACCACCCAAAAGTGTGCATTATCAAGGACTTTCTCTCATCCGACTATATCTCCTTTTCAAAAGTTATGCCTAGAGACTTTCTGGAGCCCGAAACCAATCAAGCAAAAACTCCACAATATTTTTCATCCACAGAAAACATTCCCTATTCCCTTAATCCAGCAACACAGAAAGCATCAAATCCCATGAAGGATTTATTTATTTATTTATTTATCCAGTTTTTATTTACCTTCTAAACTTTAAAGAATAAAATGCAGATTCCAACCCCCAGCTTGTGTGCAAATTCTTAACTGTCCAGCACCTTGGGACATCCTTCCAATGTGGAAGACGCTATATAAATGTAATTGTGTTGTTGTTTCCTTTGTTTCTATTTAATCCTGTGTCTGAGTTCCACATCCTATTTGCTGGTTGATGCTATCCATTACACTCACTCTTTATTGCTCGCCGATTCATTGTCCCAGTCTAATATCCTGTTTATGCTGAGACCTGGTGCCTTGATCCAGGCTCAGCACTCAGGTTGACCACCTGCTGGTTTATGAAACTGTTCCATTTAATTTGAGGTTTCACAATGCCTGGTGAGAAAATTAAACATGGCTGCCACTGCCTTGATCTCCTGTGATTGACATCTAATTTTTCCTCCCAAGTTACTTAATGCATTCCTCGTGTTAGTTGCATTGTTTTAAATAATGCAAAGAAAAACAAATCTGAAGTCTTACATAGTGGAGTCCTGTAGCTCAGTGGTTAGAGCACTCACCTCGCAAGTGAGAGACCTGGGTTCGATTCCCAGCAGGCCAAAACATTGGGCAAGTTTGCTTACTTCACACGTCTCTGTTTACCAGTAGTAAATAGTAATAGGAACCCAGTTGTTAGTCGATTGGCGGATCGCTTTTCCGGGGAAAATAATCACTCAAAAAAAACAATAATAATTTGGTCACTCAATTCACGACTGTTTGTGGGACACTGCTGTGGGCAATTGGCTGCCACGTTTCACCCAGAAATATACAGTCAATTCGCTTTACTCTGTGAAGTGCTTTGAGGCGCCTAGAAGACATGAAAAGTGTTATATCAAATGTAAGGATTATTGTAATTATTATTACTGAGAGCAGGAAACACCATGCTTCCCCTTACTATCTTTACCACAAAATGGATTACAGTACATGGAAGACAAACAAAGGAAAGTTATTTATGGTTGAAATGATTGTTGAAAACTGGGAAGTTTTTCAGAGAAGGGGCAAACTGTTCAACCAGGATAGAGTATAATAGGCAAGTCGGCAATGGATTCAAAATTACAATACCAGAAATATTTTGATTGGGAAACCCAGCATGGTAGATTACCCAAATATTGTACATGATGATATAAAAGACGAGCAAAAAAACTGTGGAGTCCTGTAGTGTATTGGTTAGACCACTCACCTCGCAAGCGAGAGGACCTGGGTTCGATTTCAGGGCAAGGCGAAATGTTAGGCAAGTTTCCTTACTCCACACGCCTCTATTTACCTAGCAGTAAGTAGGAACCTGGTTGTTAGTTGATTGGCGTTTCGCTTTTCCAGGGGCAATAATTCTTTCAAAAAAAAAAAAAAACCTCCCCCTCCCCCCAATAATTTGGTCACTCAATCCACAACTGTTTGTGGGACACTGCTGTGCGCAAATGGCTGCTGCGTTTTGCCCACAAAATATACAATCAATTCACTTTATTTACTGTGAAGTGCTTTGAGACGTCTCAACGTGTCATCAGCAACATACAATTAGCAGATGGTCAGAGGCAACACTTGGAACTCCAGGTTTGCCAGCTTCAGACATAATTGTGACCTTCATAATTGATATTCACAAACTGGAAGTTGCCCTTTAATGCAGTAAATGTTGCAAATTAAACCCAAACAAATAACTTTTGTGTTTGATTTAGACCCTTTCACATTAGGAGGACGTCTCAAAGCATCAAAGCATTGCAGGGAATTACTGTAAAGTACAGTGATCATAATCTTGTGAAGCCAAAAGTGTCAGCCAATCGGAAATGGGACCTTGGGTTTCATGTGTCATCCAAAGACCACACTGCACTGGAGTGTCAGGTCAAAGTACCTAACGTGGGGTTTGAATCCACAACTGTCAGACTTGGACGTTGCTACCGACTGAGCCAGGCTGACATTTGACTTTTAAAAGTTCTAAAAGAGGAACATTTAAGTGATACAACAAGGTGCGTTATCTTTGCTCATTTATACATGTCTATGTGTGAAAAGGAAAAAGAACACCAAATAAAAATCACATACAGTTGATTACATGATTAACTTGTTCAATCTATTCTATTGAGGCATTTAGCAACATACTGGCTATTAGATGCATGACCCACAGGTTGCCTACGTTAACCCTGTGTGAACAAAATTACATCAAATTCATGCTCGTAGATCAACATACGTTGCATTGAAAGCACTTCAGAAAATTAAGACTAAACAGAAAGCATGCCATCAGTTTTCAATATTTCATCAAGCCAAGCATACTGGATGGTCATGAAGGTTTTTGAAAAGCTTATAAATTTTAACTCTGTAGGCGTACTCTCCCCTCATACCACTGACTTAACATTGCTGTGCGCAATTGGCTGCCGCGTTCGCCCACAAATATACAGTCAATTCACTTTACAGTGTGTTCTGGGAAGCGCTTTGGGACGTCCTCCCGACGTGAAAAGCGCTATATCAAATGCAAGGATTATTATTACTCTAACTTGGTGCTGCCAATAGAATCCATTATATCAGTTATTATCATCACAGCGACCATTGCTAATTATCAACACTATAACACAAAAGAGTTCTCTGGGGAGGTGGAAGGAAATTAATTCTCAGTGTAATAGTCCTGTAGAGTGTAATAGTCCCATGGAGTCCTGTAACTCAGTGGTTAGAGCACATGCTTTGCAAGTGAGACACCTGGGTTCAGTTCCCGGCAGGGCGAAACCTTGGGCAAGTTTCCTCACTTCACAAGCCTAACAATAATCCCTCCAAAAACAAAACAATAATAAATTGGTCATTTTCAATCCATGACTGTTTGTGGGACATTGCTGTATGCAATTGGCTGCTGCATTTCACCCACAAATATACAGTTAATTCATTTTACAGTCCATTCTGTGAAGCGCTTTGAGAAGTTGAGAAGGTGTGAAAAGCGCTATATCAAATGCAAGGATTATTATTATCATTGTACATTATTAATTTGTAACTTGTGAAATAAAAGTGCTTTTGGCACAGACACAATGGGTTGAATGGCCTCCTTCTGTGCCTTATAATTCTATAACTCTATGATTGTGAAAACACTAGGAGTTATTGGTTTACTGATTACAAAGTATACTGATAATAATTGATTGCCAATGCTCCTCCATTTGATCACAAGTGCTTTTTATTGTAAATGGGCACAGAGAGGTATGGCTGGACTTTCTGAATCCCTCTTAGTTTCCCAGGTTAGTGTGGCAGAAGGCAGACATGTTTGAAGCTGGAAGGGGTGAAAGGAAGTCTAGTTGTGTCATGTACTTGTGCTACTAGGTAAAACCAGAATGAATGGCCACCCAGTGCATTGGTGCAAGGTGTGAATTTAGCATTGAACTCCACAGATCAGGATGGTCCCAGATTTAATTATGATATATGCTCAATTATCAAATCATAGCTGGAGCAGCAGTGAGGATTCTTCATTGATCAGGCTGGACAAGTAGACTCTTTGACTTCAGTCCACTGGGTTTGGGAATGGAAAATTCGCTTGCAAATTGTTTGCTCAAGAATCCAAATGCAAGGAATCTTACTATTGTGAGTGTGCGTGCGTGCGTATGAGAGGACAAGATTTGAACTAAGCTGTGATAACCTTCCAGTTGAATAAAAAGTGATAATAATAATCATCAAATTTGATTTCACACCTTTCATATTGGGAGGACACCTCAAAACACTTCACAGGATAAATAATAAACTTTGGATTGGGGGATACACTGACCGAATAGGTCTAGATTTATTCTATTGATTTAGCACCTAGAATCTGGCAAATTATTGAATTCCTGTATTAACTATGTTGTTTTTCTCTAGCTCTTAAAATAACTTAAAATAACTTACAGAAAAATAGCTTTAAAATAAGGACAGTATTTAAGGATTTGCAAAATTCTAGACTCCGGTGGAATTTTCCCCAGTGCTTCAAATAGTTCATCAGACGTGATTATTAATTGCTGTTTGTATTTAATTGGCTGTATTCTGCTTTCAAGACATGTTTTGAGCAGTCTGCTGAGGGATTGGAAATTTTGACTGTAGAAAGATCGATTCTCATGAGATTTAGGAACAGATGCATAATTTGGCACTTTACACATTAATTGTCACTGAGTCAGAGGTAAAACTTTCCCAGTGTCTGCACGTGCGTGAATGTATTCATTATTATAATATTATTAATGTGCCCATTCAGTGCCTGGAATATTCTTAAAACTGAAGCAGAGAATTACTTTGTGATAAATATGGTAAGGTATCATCATTTCCTTTGATCCGGCACCATTTTGAGATGAAAAAGCTAAATAAAGCACGTGACCAGAGGCTTGGAGTGTTTTGACTGACTTGTTTGGAGAGCAGATACTGCACCTCACAATAATCACACATCATTTGTTTGTCATGCATTTCTTTTGCTTATAGTAAAAAAAAAGCCTAA